CTTTCCCTAAACATCCCATAATAAGCCTTTGTACAATCCTCATACAATCCCAAAATGCTCTTCCCTGCATCCCATAAGGAGTCCCATACCTCCAGGTTATATCCACCCTCAGTCTGCAAGGTGCTCCAGAAAGCCTCTCCTGTTGACTGATGGTGATGGGTCTCACTTCCACCCATGAGGCTGACTCCCCCCTGGGATGTCCTGGGATTGAAGGCTTGTTCCTCTAACTAGGTTGTTGGGGTTCCCCCAGATGCCATTATACCTCTGGGCTCTGTGGTTTGTGCTGAGGTGAGCCTTTAATCAGCTAATTCAACATTCATCAGCTTCAGCTTTAGGTGCTTCACGATGCAGCTGCTAGTACTTTAGTTCCAGTATTTCACTCGTGTGGTTTCAAAAGACTTTTATGCTTAATGCACATGTAAATGTTTTCTTTAAAAGATGGTTTTTAGAGCTTATGGAGTATTTCAGACTGATGAAGAACTTTGAACATGTAAACATGAGTTTTATCTTGGGCTCTGCACAGTTTATGCATTTGATTAGACAACTGTGAACATGAAGTTTGGATTCTTTTTATCAGGAGTGTAAGAGGGGAAGTGAACAGGGACCATCAGCTCTCAATAGAAAGAGTTTCCACAATTCATTGAGTAAGGTTTTACAGGCATTTAGGTCAGAAATAGTGCCAGAGCATGTGAAATATCTGCTCAAAGTATTTCATATGAATTAAACTGTTCCACGAGAAACCAGTGACTTCACTTGTCTTCACTTTACTTTGGTAGAGTGATGGATATCTGTGACATTATTCTGCTTGCTTTTTTTTTTTTCCTGCATGAGGAAAAGAAGGCTGCACAGTTTGCTCTCTTAAAAATTCCCTTAAACAAAATACCTATGGAGTTTTCTTCACCATATTATTCTTTCTATCACCTACAGTAAAGATGAGCTCCATTACATTCCTCATCTCACACTCAAGATGCTGTACACTGTTTTCAGATAAACAGGTAACAAATGAGATGGACACAAAGCCTTAATGAGTATTAAGTGAATGTTGAGAAGTCTTATTACACAGGGAAGACAAATCAGATGTTCAGGCAGGCTGAATCTTAGACCCAGTCTATGTATTTGTGCTGGCCTAAACCATGCAGGCTTTAAGCACATGTGAATAGATAAACTTGAGTCCTCCCACAGGAAAGTTATTTTGCCTACCTGCTGGCACACGCTTTTTGCCCAAAAGCTGTCTCTCAAGCTCGGTGAGTTTTCCAGTCATGTAACCACTCACCTGCAAGTACTCCACACAGACATACACACCGTTAGATAGAACAACCACCCTGTCAATCATGGAATCCAACTGCAGTTGTTCAAAGTTTGTGTATCTTACTCCACAGCTGAGTATTCAGGGGCAGAGCCAACAGTCCTTGCAGTCCAAGCGCCAATGCTTAGCTAAGCAACAGATTTTTTGATCAGGTTTTCAGAGTTTTTCCTTCTCAAGAAGGTTCTCAGTGGGAAGCTCCTCAAGTGCTACATTTTCCAACCTCTGCCCCAGCATTTGTAAAACAAAAATTAATGCATAAATTCTACGCATGGCTCATCATTATTTAATATAGTGGTGGTTATTCTTCTCTGTATTGTTCTAACTACACTCATATAATTCAGCCAACAGAGATTAATTTATTTTTCAGCATCACTTATTTGCAGTTCCGTTTGCCCACAGCTGTGAATTTCACACTTCCAATACTAGTTCTCTTATATTCCTTGTCACTGTCCTCTGCTTTTTCTGGGGCGTCCTTCTGCTCAAATGCTTTTCTGAATGGCAGAATAAAATCTGCTTGTCCAGGGGACAGGTTAGGAAATGTGGCATCAATATACTTTTGAAAAGCTTGTCTTGTTTCTTGTATTTCAGTTTCCAGGCTGTCCTTCCAATGTGTCATCTTTTCCAGTTTTTGTGTGAGAATCTTTACCTGTTCTTCGGCTGCTTTCAGCGTAATCATCACTTTTTCCATCTCATCAAGATATAGGGTCTCTGCTGCTTTGAGGTGTTTTTCAGTGTCAATCTGATCCTCTTTTTGTCTGAGACTCAGGGCAATATTAATCTCATGATGTTTTTCTTTGTTTAATTGCTCTATACTCTTACGATATAGTTCCTCAGCTAACATACTTTCTTCTTTGAGTTGCTCTAAGTGCTTTCTGTTTAAAAAACAAAAAAGAAGAAAATATTTGTGGGGGACACGTGTTATTAAAGATTATTTTAAAACCATTTAAATCTATTCAGGTTGTTGTAAAATCTCTCTTATTCAACTATAAATATACATGAAACCAGAACTTGATGTAGGACCTCTGAAACAAAATATGGTAAAAGGCCACTAATGATGCAGAGAAAGGCAGCTGCAGAAGATTCTATTTCTGCATGTGTTGCATTCAGTGATAATTTAACAATGCTTGCCTCCAAATGAAAAATAAAATTTAAAAATAAAGCTTTCACTCTTCATTGAGGTCTCTCTTTGAGCTAGCACTTAAGTACACACTGATTTTCAAACAGACTTTGAACAATTTGCCCCAAAGTAAAAATGTTGTCTTGAAGTGAAATTTAAGAACTGATTTCTAGACTACAGATTCATCTGTAATTTTGTTTAAGTGGTGCTGACAACATCTTTGTGCTAGCATGTCAGTATAAAACATATAATTTATGTTATGTAGTCAAAACATTATGGGTGCTGTTTCACCAAAGTTGGCTCAGGGACACATAAAGAATGGTGGATCAGGCATCCATTAAGGTTACTGAGCCTAATACTTAAATGTAGAGAAAACGATTTCTGCTTTCTGTTATTGCTCCCTCCTGCAGATAATTTTGCAGAACTCTGCTAACATGAGAAGTTAAAGAGACAAGCTAAGTTTATGTGGAAGGTGATTTATCTTTGTCAGGAAAAGCATGTTTTAACAGTAAAAATGAAGGTAATAAATTTTGACATCAAATCTGTTTAATTCACAATGCTTAATCTATATGGGTAGGATCTCCTGCGCCCTGCAGATCTCCATATGAATACATCTTTTTCAGTTTTGCATAGCTGTCATGAATGGCACAACACACGAGATCTTTATTACTAATAACTCTAAATCAGCCAGAAAAAGCAAAACTTTTGGATCTTTGGTTGGCTTTGTGATACTTGCTTTTAGGAACAAAATATGTTTTATTCCTACATGGGGTGTCAGCAAAAGAGAGTGAACCTGCAAATTTTGATGGTCACTTGACATTTCCAAATACATTTTTTTCTAAAGGGTCTATCGATCTTGTCCAAGAAGACCTCCATCTGAGCCATGCTGATGCAATTCCCATCATATTCTTTAGCAGAGTATGTTTGCCAGCCAAGTCAGGGGAAACACTAAGAGTACCTGTACTGTCTCTCTGCTTCCTTCAGGGCTGCCTCCCTCTCCTGTTTCCTGGCTTCAGCCACCGCTTGCATCTTCTCCCGGGCACACTCCATGAGGGCACACTGAAGTCTGTGAGCCATGCGCTGCTCTGCAGCTTCAGCCTCTCTCTTCCGCTCATCCTCCATGTACCGCTGCATCTCTGCCTTTGCTTTCCTCACCTCTTCCTTAAGCAAAGTTAAAAGTAGATTTAAGTAGTGATAACAGCTTATTGCCCAGTTGTCTTTAAACAATCCCCAGCAAAGCCCAGCAAAACAGAATTCAGGAAAATATTACAGGGCAATTACAGTGATTTATTGTAGCATCATTCCCCATTATCCATGTTTTCTACATAAGGCACAAAAAGTTCCCTAATATATTTTCTTCACAAGCTCACATAGCCAGGGGCATGGTTTTAGAGTGAGATGGAGAAGAAGCCTGGCCCTTGGTATGCTTGTCAGCAAGATACTGCTCAGGCTGATATATAAAGGTACGACAACACTAATCTTAGGTGGCCTGTAAGGACATATATACATCTGGAATCTCAGAAAACTCAATATATACCAATATACCTCTGTTGCCATTATAGGCCATGCAAAAGCTGACCATCCAGGACAGCAATCCAACCCACCTAACTCACTGCTCAGTCATCTATGCTGCTTTGCCACCATTCACAGTTCTTTCCAAGATCCCTGACAAGTGCATTCTCTGTGGAAGTGGCAAGACATTATTGGGAAAGCTCTGGCTGGTTAGATCTTGGAAAGATGGGAACAGACTTTTTAGCAGGGCCTATAGCAATAGGACAAGGGGTAATGGTTTTAAATGAAGAGGGCAGATTTAGACCAGACAGAAGGAAGAAATATTTCACAATGAGGGTGATGAAACACTGGGACAGGTTGCCCAGAGAGGTGGTAGAAGCCCCATCCCTGGAAACGTTCAAGGTCAGGCTGGACAGATCTCTGAGCAACCTGAGCCAGTTGAAGATGTCCCTGCTCACTGCAGGAGGTTGGACTAGATGACCTTTAAGGTTCCTTCCAACCCAAACCATTCTGTGATTCTATAACTGTAGGTTTTTATTTCTGTATGTGTTTAGCATATGCTTTATATGGCTGTTTGGGTATCTGAGAAAAGGCTCAGATATATATATATATATATAGAGGAAGGAAGGCAACTGCCTTCTGGATCTGAGTCTTCCTGCTTTCTGCATTGTTTCACAGGGCTTTTTACCACTAGAGCATCCGAGCACGCCTCAGCCAGGCACTACGCAGTCTGCCTAACACCTGTCATCCTTAGTCTTGCAGCCTCCCACTGGTCGATGAAGGACGCACTGAGAATTGCTGGAGTGTCTTGCTTTGGAATTTTATTTCGTACAAGTTTCTAAATAGCTATCTGTTTATACTGCAGGCAGTCAAAGCAATGTGCCTGGCATCTCAAGAGGAAAAGCAGGGAGGTTTACAGTGGTCTTAAGTTTCTGGCACAGTTCATTCCATTTTATGGAGCTGTTTTCCAAAGGAGCTCTGTCTTTTGCTGTCATAGCATCTGCCAACAATAGTTGCCAACAATAGTTGGCAGAAGCTCAGTTCCTTGTTTTTAACCATTCAATTACTTGCTATAAGCCTATTACATATCTTCATAGACCTGAGTGCTCAGGATGTGAACGTGTACCATTTGTCCTGATAACGTTGTCTCCAGTGACTAAGGACTAGGGAGCAGATACAGAATTCTACAGCTGCAACAAAAGAAGAGGCAGATATAACTAAAGTAATTGCAAGATATTTTCTATTTGGTGCTTTGTGTTCATTTTCAGAGGTGTCTTAACAGTGAGGTAACTGCTGTCTAGCAGCTAGCCTGGAGAGGTGGTGGCAGAAAATTTACTCAGCATCTGTCTAAGCAAACAGTGGCAGCCAACAAGATGTCACACTGAATGAGTGACTGAAGTGTTTTTATGTGTAGGATGGGTCAAAGACAACTGCTTTCAGCTGATAGCCTCAGGGATGGCTTTTTGCAGCAGTGCTGATGTGCCTGTTCCACCACCACTAATGCTCAAATGGCTTTCGTTAGCCTTTTTGTAGGCAGGTCTTATTACTTGTAGCTCCACTTGTCAGCAGTAGACAACCCACCAGTATCCACAAAAATACAAAGAACACAGAGATTATAGTTGGGTGTACAAAAAGTGTATGGCAAACCTCATGTAACTCTGCTCATTCTGTATTAGAATTAATTTTTCCTTCTCCTCCACCCCACTTAGGGTCCAGGTTCAGTAAATCAGTTAAATACACCTTTCTAGCTTCAATGGGCACAAAACTTCAGGACTGATTTAGTTAAGCCCTTATTTAACTGCCCTTAAGAAATGCACCTAATCAGGTTCAGTGGCTAGCTGAATCAAGGCCTGACAGGGAATTGTCAAAGTCCACAAACTTCATTCACTAAAAAAAAAAAAAAAAAAAAAAAAAAAAGTGTGAAACATGCTGAAAGTGAATTAAAAAAATCCAGCTAGCTCAAGCTCACATCTCATTTAGCACAAAGACAAACACAGCAACCTTTCAGGCCAAGGACTTCTCCTTCCACTAGAGTTCAAATGTCAGATGAATAAAGGTCCTGGTTATGGCGAGCATTAAAAGAAAAAAAGCCATGTGTTTTCATTACATAGAATGACATTCTTGGTTGTCAAAACCATGGTTCTGTCATGCTGGCAATTCCCACAGTAATGAAAGCAAACTGGTTCATACCCGTAATTTCTTTTCAAGTTCTTGTTTAAGGTCCTGTACAAATGCGCTGTGCTTAGCGGCTGCCTCTTTGAGAGCTTTTTCCACTGCATCTTCCTTGTGCATTTCAGCCTTTAAAACAAGTCATTGTTTAAGTATGGCAGCTCACATTCTATTAACATCCTATTAAGATGAAACACAGGTTACATAATCAATAGTTCTGTATTTTCTGGGTAAAAATCAGAGCAAATTAAATTTAAAACCAGACAGCAAAATACATTTTGGCCCATTGCAGTGATCCCTGTTAAAATATGGCCACACAATAGCACTGAGCTGTGAGTTGTAACCACTATGTGTCTATATCACACAAAGGGCGGTTTCAGAATCTTACATAGCGCTATGGGGAACAGCTTTAACAACCGATTAATTTCTGTGTGCTTTAGAGGCCGTTCTCAGACCAGATGTCAAATTTATTATTAATTCAAAGTATGCTTTGTCATGATCAGAAACTGGAGAAATACATGCACACAGAAATCTGAACAAAGGATGAGCTGAAATTAATGACAGCTCTATAGCAGTGACCTCAAAGTTCTTTTTTAGCTGTCTTTACGCTATAGCAATTATTCAAAAAAATCACTATAATTTAAATGACAGGAGCATAATTTAACATACCTGAGACCAAAGTTCAGCTTTCATTTTTTCAATGCGCTCTTGTATCTCTGCCTCCTTATCTTCCTGTTGTTTTTTTTGAATGTCTGCTCCGATCTCTGCACAATGAACACAAGAGGATCATGCACAGCAAACAACCAGAGTGCAGAAACCTGTGCCTCTCATCCAACACCTTTGTGTGGCTCTGCAGCTGAATTAAAAATCAAAAGGCTAAAAACTATGCTCTCTCATTTCACATACAGGAAAACATAATTATTATTGCTTGTGCAGTTCCATAAATGTAATAAGGTGCTGAACCCACTTCTCACTTTCTAGGCAAGGCTGCAGAACAGGACAGCATCATGGGTGTCCCTCCTGACTCCTTGTCTTGATGGTCATCCACACAGCACAAGCAATAGGTCAGTCCTCAGCTTTCTTGGGAATGATTTACCCAGTTCTGTCTGCAACTGATCCTCACAGCAGCTTGGGTGATGGCTTTGTTCCCTTTACATGCTACGGGAGAAATGGTGCCCTACCCTCCTTGGCTTCTTGTGCCCTCAGAGTCCTCCAAGGCTTTCAGTGAGGTCTCTTCACAGAATCACAGCATGTTAGGGATTGGAAGGGACCTTGAAAGATCATCTAGTCCAATCCCCCTGCCAGAGCAGGAACCTAAATGAGATCACACAGGAAGGCGTCCAGGCGGGTCTTGAATGTCTCCAGAGAAGGAGACTCCACAACCTCCCTGGGCAGCCTGTTCCAGGGCTCTGTCACCCTCACAGTAAAGAAGTTTCTTCTCAAGTTTAAGCGGAACCTTCTGTGTTCCAGCTTACACCCACTGCCCCTTGACCTACCATTGGGCATCACTGAGAAGAGCCTGGCTCCATCCTCCTGACATTTGCCCTTAACATATTTGTAAACATTAATTAGGTCTCCCCTCAGTCTCCTCTTCTCCAAGCTAAAGAGACCCAGCTCCCTCAGCCTTTCCTCATAAGGGAGATGCTCCACTCCCTTAATCATCTTGGTGGCTCTGTGCTGGACTCTGAAAGGATTTCAGAAACTCTGTGCTGTCTCTTGCCCCGAGATACCCTCAGATGCCTTCACGTCACTTTAGTGGCACACAATAAATATTCTCAGGAGAGGGGGGATATGGCGGAAGACTTCAGGTGTTTGGAAGAGAGCGCACACATAGAGAGCAATCCCTCTGTCTCTAGGGCTGCAGTGTCTGTCCGGGGCCCAGGCAGCCCCAGTGCTGCAGGAGCACAGGTAATCACTCCTAGAAAGGGGCAGCAAAGCAGCATGGAGGTGAGCCACACCACTTCACAGGGCCTAGGCCAGGACTGCTCCCTTTAGCGACATGGAAGCTAATGTTAGTATCACCATTTCCTCCTGTGGACACGCTGTGAAAGCAAACAGGTAGACTTGCTAAGTCATTTGAAAGGTTGGTCTTCAGCACCAAGGATTGCCCAGAAGAGAAGCCACTGCAGAGGGAGGTGGATAAAGATGCCTTTTTGCAACCCCAAATGCCCCCCCAACAGTGGGATTTCAGATCCTCCCCCTCTGCCTTTCCTACTCATGGCTAAGCCTGGGCATGGCTTTAGATCCCATTCTCTGTGCTTGACAGGGACAGAGTCACATTTTCCTGGGTTACTATAGAGGGAAAAAGGAATGGAGCCATAGGAAATCTGGCTTTCCCACAACCACTGGAGGGTCTTTCACTCCAGTCTTCTTCCCCATTCCACATGGCTGGGCAGAATCCTCTCATGGAGCTGACACAAAGTACAAGGAAAACAGTAGCAGCATGGGGCCAAAGGGGTCAACTGATTAAACTCTGCAAAACAGAAGCCCAACAGTACATAATCTTAACAACAAGCATGTTGTGCTCTGACTATATAGCTTTTCCCCAGTCCACTATAGTAAGCGGTAAAGAGAAAATAATTTAAAAGGAGACTGTCTCTGGCCTTCTGGACATGTTTTACACTGTGTGTGCCATCATAGAATGGTTTGTGTTGGAAGGGACCTTAAAGATCATCTAGTTCCCATCCCCCTGCCATCAGCAGGGACACCTTCCACTAGACCAGGTTGCTCAAAGCCTCATCCAACCTGTCTTTAAAAACTTCCAGGGAGAGGGCATCCACAACTTCTCTGGGCAACCTGTTCCAGTGTCTGACCACCCTCACAGTGAAGAATTTCTTCCTAATATCTAATCTAAACCTGCCCTCTTTCAGTTTAAACCCATTTCCCCTAGTTTTGTCATTAACTGCCTTCCCCAGTCCTGGGGAAGGACTGGGGAAAAGTCCTTCCCCAGCTTTCTTGTAAGTAAACAGCACCAATACAATTTCTTCTCACGTTCTGACATGCACGGCACTCGCCCTCCTGCCAAGGCTCTCAGTACACTGACAATCTCTTTATATTGTTTAAAACTGAAACCAAGCACACTCCTCTTCACAATGCACATCAATTAAAATGCACATGATTTCTACAAAACTTTACACAGCTGATAAGCCTCTATGACAATCAGATGTTGCAGATAAAGATATTTCAGATTCTTCCTAGATCCTCAAACATATGAATGCTACCATATGCTTTCCTTCATCATTGAGGTTATGATTGTGTTACGCCAGAAAAAAATCAAACCTCAAGAGGCTCTACAGAGCCTCAAACTAAGGTCAGCAGCCAGAATCAGGTATAAGAAGATAGGATTTAAGATAAAACATCCCAGCTGTGTCCTGTTGAAGGATGAGGGGACTTTCTCTGCAAATGTTAAGTCAAGCATAGTTCTACCCAAACTACATGAGCTCTACAAAACTTTTGCTAACGGTCTTACAGCTAATTCTCTTACACACCTCATTACGCCCAAATCTGAATGCCCTCATGCACTACAGGATGGCTGACCCTCTCCCCACTCTGAATATGCAGGATTTATTAATATTCAGAAGGTAAGTGCAATTTTTTCTTACCAAGATGCGAATGTCTTCATGACTCTCAAAAACAGGTGGATACAACAGCTCTTTGACTCTTCCCAAATCTCAGATTGTGAGGAAAGGATCTCAGAAACAAACAAATACTTACCCAGTATATCACGATGAGTGTAATACCGTGTTCTGAAAGGCCTATACTCCCGAATCCGATGGAAAGTAGCGCTGGAAGGAGGTGGTGCTATTATTTTTGAGCATATGGCACAACAAACAAAGGAGTCCAGATCAGGACTTCTAATCATTGTGGTATTGTAATAGTTTTTCTGTAATACAGTCACTAAAGCACCAGAACTCTATTCCTGATAGATCTCTTGCTTGCAGGCAAAATGCTTGTTGTTGCTACAGAAAACATGCAAGCTGGCGAAGAGAGAAAAATCACTGACCATTACTATTCACCAAGTTCGCCAAAAGTTTGCCTTCAGATTAGGATTCACACGTGCTGACAATTCAGTAACATGCTGTAGGCCGATGATGGTGTGGGAGGGTTGTAGAAGTGAACCCTTCCAGCCTTACTACACCTCCCTCCATAGCAACTGTCACTAGGCAGGGCTGGCTTTGCTCACAAAGAACTAACTGACCCTGGTAATAGTTAGGCAGCAGCACGGCACGCTTTGGCTTTCCCGTGCATCTTGTTGTTGAATGTTAATGATTCCTATTCAAACCATGTAGCCTAAGGTTTTAGGAGCAGTAAAATAGCTACTGTCTCAGATATCAGAAACACAGCATTTTGTTGCTCTTCTTGGTAAAAATATGAAAGCCAGCACAGACAATAAGGAATTGGCAAAAACCTGAAAGAGCCTCTGCACAGGAAATCATTTTGACTCACAGTTCCTGCCAAGCCAGGTACAAACCATTGTGGATAATTACTGCTATGCTGAAGATGATATTGAGAAAAATAGAACAGAAGAAATTGTATTGGTGCTGTTTGCTTGTCCTCCAGATGAATAAGGGGAGCCGTGATTTCAGAGTTGAGCAAACAAACTTTGTTACTGATGCAGTTGTGTTTGGGTTGGGTTTTTCCCTTTAACCCCTACACACACATAGTTCTTATGTATATAAATCAGGTACTTAAACTAGAAAATGCCAGGATTGATACTATCACAGCCATTAATTTACTACATTCTTCTCTCTATTTGCACTGCTTTATCTCCTTTCTATATATAATTTTTGTAGCATTAAGAGAGTTACCTGTACAGCAGCTGCCACAAATTAAATATGGAGAAGCTCCTTAAAATAAGAATACATCTAACTACTCACTCTTCCTTCGTCCTGGGCAGTTCTAAACTAACCTGGTTAACAGGACTTTACTCCATACAACAGATAAGAGGCCCCCCCCTCAGACAGCTCTCCTATCAAGTGCCATTGGCATGCACATCGTCGAGACCCTGCCCAGGTCATCCCACACCTTTCCTCTTTCATCCATCCCCCTTCCTTTTCCCTCAGTAACTTCCAGATCCACGTTAACTTCACAAATCATAATTCAAAATTTTGAGAACCCAAATCCTGCATTATTCCCAAACATATGAAAATGAGAGACTGGGCTATCTCACATCAAATCATCTGCAGGTATAAGGATCAAAGCGTGTATTTTGAAGGCCTGCAGAAAAACAGGTTAAAATGCTTACTGTAAAACTTTACTGCTTACAGTAAAATGCTTACTGTTTTTTGAATAATTTAGTTAAATTCATGCAAACATAGGAGACTTACACATTTTAATGAACTGAAGAGAGCTAAAATCCTGTGTAACCCTTCTTAAAAGAACAGATTAATTCTAAAGATCCATCACATCCTATTAAACAAAACATTCTACAGGATATGCACAGCATGTGACAGTTCTGAATATTTGATCAATTCACCTGGAAACTCCTTCACCCACCAAAAGGCAAGTAGTGTCCTCACCTGCAAGCTTTCAAGACCTTGCTGTTGTGAGGCAGATAGGCTCACAGAGGAGAATATGCTTCTAAAGGCTGTAAAAATGCTATTTTTTATAGCTTTACTAAAGGTAGAGCTCACTTCCCTTCTCGGGAAGGAGGCAGCCAAATCAAGGCCCATCTGAGTTTAGGATACAGGTAACTATAAAACATGGACAGGAGGAAAATCACAGGTTCAAAGTGAAGGATTTAGAGAGAGGTACAAGGAAAACCCATAGAGCAACTGCCTGACCCTCAAGGCAGGTGGTCACCTTTTTTATCTTCAGTAACAAAATCTTTCAATAACAAAACCCAAAGCAATTCCCAGAGTGACAAAGCAGATGTCCCTGCATGTTCTTTCTTCTTTGGTCTGACAGAAGCCACCTTGGCCAGAAGAGGGTTAACAAAGAGGTCTCTGAGCTGCTTGGGAGCCCTTGATGGGGCTGCAAATATGAGGGGCTGAATGGAAAAATGCAACCAGAATAAATAAGGGTGTGTGGTGGAAAAAGGGCACGACCTGGCATGTGCTCCCCCACCCCGTGTTCTGGAATCTGGTTAACAGGGTACCCTCTAGGAAATGTCAGGCACACAGAAGTAGCTGGAGAAACTCACAGAAGGCCTCAGTGCCGAACAGGAAAGCACCCACCCATACATTTTGCTCAGGGTAAAGGCTCACAGGGGACCACCTCGTGTGCTAAGGAAACACCACAACGCCCACCTGCCCTGCAGCCACACTTACAGCAGCAGAAACCAGCACACAGGTGAGGGTCACCCCCAACCCACAGGCCAGGCTGTTTGGCAAGACTGGGCTTGTTCGGTTGATACATTCTTTTCTTTGTGTCTGTTGTTGATTTTAGACTTTCCATTCCTTATTTTGAGTTCAGTAACCTATAATAAATGCATGTTGCATAATGTACTTTGCAATATAGAGAAATTCCATTTTCGAATACAGCTTAAATAAACTAGTCCTGCTGACTAGTCAAGAACACCCTACAAGCTCTGGAGTTACAGGTATCGACTGGCAAGCTGATACTGGTACGTTCACTGATCCGCTGTCTGCTGCCAAACAGGAAAGCAATGGCCGAGTTCTTCCCGCCTTTCTCTCGGCAGAAACACTCGCTTCACTTTTTCCCCTCTATCTAGCTACTGATTTTTATTTTTTTCAAATATATTATTTCAAGTATATTAGCATCCAAAGATTATTTTGGCCAGTATTTTACAAATGCCTTTATTAAATAAAACCCTTCAATGACTGCTTTATCACATCTTTCTTGCTTTAAAATTATTTCACTTGCACCACTGTTAAATATCAACTTTTCAAGAGATCAACTACTTCTTTGCACATACAATACATAATGCCTTCTGTTTAAAAAATAAAAGACAAACCTGTGTTTTCACTTAATCAAAGCAAAGAGAGAAGTGAGCTGAAGTATCATGTATATTTCTAAGGCATTTACCAGTCTTGGCTGCAGTCTGAGTTAACTGTGTATCTTCTGACATACTATGGAGATTGCAGACAACAACTCTTAAAATCTTAAATGTTCATATATATCTTAATTTCAATTTATTTGTACAGGCATGGCATTTTATAAAGCAACTTCAACTGGATAAAATAGGAAGAAAGACATTTATCCATTATTTCAATGGACAGAGAAAAAAAACGTAGTAGTTGCCTTGAAAAGTTCTGTGACTGATGTGCCAATGTCCTTCCTTAGACACTGTCAGTCCCACTTGGAAGTTTTCCTCCGCATGTATCTGGACCCTTCACTGTCCATGGCTTCATAAAGGTCCTTTTTATTCTCTACTGTCGCATGCAAATAACCAAGGTAGGCCACGCAGGCGGTGATTGCTATGAGTCCAAACGCCATCACAGGCTTGTTCTGACCACAAAAAACAAACAAAAAAATAGTACACATTTTTAGTCAAAACATTTTTCATTCATTACAAACGTTACATCCTTCAATCTTAGCTTAGGAAGTGAACAGTAAACTATTGTGACATCTACAAAAATCATCATTGCCTTCTTGTAGACTGCTCCAAATAACTTTAATAGGCAGCAAGAAGGGAGAGCTGATTTTCTGACAGCAAAAGGAATTTCCTGCGAAAAAGACAACTCATTGCATTGCCAGTGCTCTGTCTTTTGCTGGCTGCAAATGCTGCTTGAGCATGAATGAACAAGCCAAAAACAATTCCTAAAGGTAACTATTACAAACTTGTAACAGAATTCATCTGGATATACTACTGGGACAACTTACCCTGCTCCTGCCAAGCCACCTTGATCATATTCCTTTAAAACAGATCGTGTGTTATCATCACAACATCTACTTTTATTATATGCACAAAATTTCATCCAGGCTTGCTGGGTTCTGCTAGTGTAAATAAAACCTGAGTGTCATCAACTTAATTACAAAAGCAAGAAAAAGAAAAATCCAAATTATTTAAAAGCTACCAAAAATACCCTCCTTTCATATCAAAAAGCTTGATTTTTTATGATTTGTTCCCTTTTAAATATTAAAGAGGACTCCTGTTACTTAAACTGTCAGATTACATGGGTAATATGCCTGTAAACAGTGTTTCTGAAAGCAACTTGGCTAGGTACAAAAGAATCAGATAATGTAACAGTGAAATAAAAGCTGGGATAAATAATGTAACGTTCTGGGCTCTTAACAATCATAGCAGGAAAAAAAGTGAAAATATTTTTAGTTACATTACTGAGTGGTTTGCATAACAAGACTTGGTTATATAACGCACACAGAATTGCTATTATTATTTTAAAGCAACCATGTCTCTCCAAGTATATCCCCTCTCAGAATGAGCCTCTTACGGGTTTAATGAAAAGCTCTGGGTTCACAGCTCGGAAAAGCATAGTTGTTTTAACACTCCTCAGTCCTGGTTTTCTCTCTTTGGGTGTTTCATTTTCATTTGGAGGTTTGGTGGAAGACATTTTAATTAAAGTTGAATACTTCCTGAAAACAGAATGAAAAACATATGTAATTTTTATAAAAAACTGAAAGAACTACATTCACTGAATACAAGTTCACGCTCAGCCTGTCTTCTTACACCATGAATTTTTGATTGTGTAAACATTAACAATTGCCTTTGCTGTTCCCTAACATTCCCAGCTTAAGCACACTGATTTTCAATTTTGTGCATGCTAAAATGAACTTTTGGAGATGCATATCTTTATACAGCAAATGTAAATCTCCTGATAACGGGCTTGGGGTTTTTTACTTGCCTTTGGCTAAGGCTTTAGCTACCCGTGGACAGAGTAGCAGCCTTCAGACCACTGGCAAAAAAGACAATGCTAGGGCATTTTTTTAACATGTGACAGGCCCGCCCACACCCCACTGTGGTGCAGTCACTGTATCCACCCACCCCAGCAGCCCCAGGACTCGGGTCTCACTCTCACACACAAGGGGCAGGTCACCTGCAAGACGCCACCTGAGCAAAGGTGAAGTAAACGCGCCTTGGGCTGACCCCGCCGAGGAGACACGGTGCTCAGGACC